TGATGCCATGGGAAGACAGAGAGAGAGAGAGAGAGAGAGAGAGAGAGAGAGAGAGAGAGAGAGAGAGAGAGAGAGAGAGAGAGAGAGGGGAGAGAGAAAGAGAGAGCGGGTGGGAGGAAGGAGGGCATGAGAGGGTGGAAACTGGCCGCGAAGCATTCAAACGGCCGATTAGGTCTCTCGAGTAGCTCTGTCTGTGGGTATCTCGGGTTCGAGCGAGGTCGGGTCGGCCGTGTAACGCGGGTCGGGCTCGGGTCGCGGTACTCGAAACTTTCGGCTTGCCCAATATTGCCGAGCGACGTTGCAGAGAGAGCGAGAGAGAGAGAGAGAGAGGGAGAGGGAGAGCGGGTTACCATATTCCACGCTCTTAAAACATCCCTAATTATCTGAGGATCGTCGAGCGGTTGCTAATCCGCGCGTTCCGTCCGCTTCGAAACTCGGCAGGTGCGCTGCGCAGAAAGGTGTGCTTTGCGGCTTACATGGATCGAATATACGTGCCGAAGCCACGTGCCGCGCGGCATTTTTGTGTTCCAGTGCGAACAGATCGCTTGTGCGTATCTTGGCAACGGTTCAAATTCTTAAACGTGATACAACTACTTTTACCTTGACTCACGGTCGGGGCAAGCGTCCAATTTTCCCATTACTCGAGTTAGCCGTGCTCGAGCCGAGACGGACAGATAGATCTTTATCCAATGACGAAGAGACACACGAGACGCGCGGGAAGAGACCGCGTCGCGGGGAAAAATCGCGAGACCGCCAACAGCCGGGCTCAGTGACACGCGAGCGTTGCAACCGGTGTCGCAGCAAACACGCTATTTCTGCGCGAAACCGAATCGTACGGTAGCTGCGCGTAAAAAGTGCGCGACGGATATAGAAGGAGAGAACGAACGAGCGTGTTGATCAATTTAATCTCACGCGAGGGACAAAGGACGCGGATACTCTTGTGTGCGCGGCACGCGCTGAGAAACACACGGTGACTCAATTCGATCAGGCTTCCCGGGATTCTTCGGAGGCGCACGGTAAAGGCGGACGTCGTTCGACTTCGCAGCCGACTTCGTTTTCTCTCGCGAAAAAATACCTGGCGCTTTTCCCTCGCGATTATCGGAGTCGATCGCGGCCGGTGGTGCGCTGACACGAGAGTGTCGATGGAGAACAACGATACGCGGATTCTCCTCGCGTTAGAAATCCGAGTGACACGAGAGCGCTACGAGAGGAGAAACCGCGCGCGCGGCGCGTAGCCGGCGGAGTAAAGACGCGGTAACATGTAGAGATTGCGTATATAATGAAAATATAAGTTTAATCACACTAATGCGCTAATGCGCGGGGACTCGCCGGCGCCACCACAGCAGGATTCTTGTGAAGATGTATGCTTCTTGTTCGGTTGCAGGCCGGCGCAATGTGGCCTGGAGCATTCTCGTTACTGGTGTTACTAGCGGTCCTGCTGCATCCATCGAGGTACGTTATTTCGCTCGAATATGCAACGAGTCGGTCGAATTTCCGGGGGTGCGGTGCTCGATCACGCGTTTCACGGTCGCGCCGCGTGAATTAATGCAACGGGGGGAGGGGGGCGGGGCGTCGCGTTTTTGGAGCGACGTCAAGACGCGCGCGCGTGCGACCGCACTTGACAACGATAGAAATACAACCCCGCGGCGGAGCGCGGTTATCGCTCGTAAGGATGTATGTTATTGACCCGCGTAAGATTGTTATGGCGCGTAAAGTTTATACGGTGGAGCTCGGCGCGACCGGCACAAACGTTCCGCTCGTAATCCCGCGCGTCGCGAGTGCGCGGAACAGATTGCGGAACGGGCGAGATCATACGTGCGACGTGCAAGGCGATCTCTGAGAATACATGTTTCCCTTTCCTAAGCTGGAAAGATACAGCCCAGCTTCGACGAAAGCTTAATCTGCATACTTTTGCGAATCTTCATCTCTGGAGATGTAACCGCGATACCGAGATAAAATTGCTCCCTCCGAGGAAGTGAGATCTCATCACGTCCACTCTCTGTGTGTGTGTGTGTGTGTGTGTGGTGCGCTCGATCGCGAAGTCGGTACGGCATTGCAAATTCGGTTCGAGCAATACGCTTACAGTGTTACGACTGATCGCGAAGGCGATACGAAAGGCGGAAATGAAAAGCGGAAGCCAAGTGCCGGCGCTTCGAGCGGGGCTCTTGCGTACGATCGATCTGACGGTGTTCAACCCTTGGTTTTTGCAGATGTACGCAAGGAAAAGTGAACTTCCGAGAGAAGGAGAAGCAAGTGCTCGACAACATTCTAGGACCAGGCCGGTACGATGCGCGCATCCGGCCGAGCGGGGAGAACGGAACAGGTGAATATAGAGATTCTCGTACGTCCCTTGTTACTCCCTCCGCCCATCCTCACCATGTACCGTAATTGTACCGACATCTCGTGGCAAATCAGCCGACAAGTGTGAATATAGGGTGGATAAGGAAAGGAAAAGGAGGGGGAAAAAAGAAGAAAAAACAGAAAAGTGAGGAAAGAGAAACGGGGTGACGGAGAGACACGTATACACACTTTGGCGGAGGGTTAAGCCCGCCGAGTGCGGAAAATTGAATGCGCGATTGCAACGTGAAGCGGCGTTAATGCGACGAAACGCGAACAACGACAACGACGACGACGATGACGACGACGACGACGACGACGACGACGACGACGACGACGACGACGACGAGCGAGTCTATGGTGGACAATACGCGATATGAGAAAAAAGTGAGCGACGTGAACTGCGAGAATTTTTCGCATGTTTGTGCCGAGTGGCAGGCATACTACCGAGCTGCGAGAAATTTCTTCATAAACTTGGCGAATGCGCCCGCGCGGCGGAACCGGCTGTTCGGAACGACCTCTACGAGCGGCCTCTAAATTCCGAGGTCCATGTAGATCCAAGTCGCGAGGGGACATCGATCGAATCTCGAACTTGCGACACGTCGTTTCTTCCGCTCGTGCGGGCGGGATATGCGCTGCTCCGTGTACAATTCGCAAAGATATGCGAGCACACATTGCGAGCGCCCTGCGTTGACGAGCGAAACTTCTTCCGCGGCTGAAATTGCGATTCCGTATATCGCGGCGCCAAGGATTTGCGTTATTGCTATCGAAAGATGCCGAATCCACCTGTGGAAGTGAGTCCCATCAGTGAGACTCGAAACACTCTTGCGCGTCGCATGTCGCGCTGCAGAAATTCCGGCTCGCGGGAACATCTCGGCTCTGATCTGGGCTGCTCGACGCGGAAAGAGGCGCGAATCTTGCGATTTACCGCAAGGTCACATTTGGCGAGAGATCTCGCCAGAGCTACGAGCTACGAGGAGAGAGAGAGCTACGTACGCAATTCGGCCGAAACCGTCTTGCAATCTCCTCCGCATTAGGCGTTTTTGCGACCTGCCGATGTCGGAGCCGCACTCGTCGCGGCACGACGAGTGGATCTTCGCGGGCGGGATCCCGTCGGGATGTATCGATCGTCGTCGACGGTGAAGAGTATCGCGCGATTCCTACGAGCGATTCCTGCAGTTGGCGGACTCGAGTGGGAGGGTCGCCTCGTTCTCGGCGCGACGGAGAGAGAGAGAGAGAGAGAGAGAGAGAGAGAGAGAGAGAGAGAGAGAGAGAGAAGTCGGGACGTGTTGCCACGCGCGTCAACTACGAGGGGACGTCGTCCGCCTGCTGGTGGTCCGGCCGCGTCCGTCGAAGCCTAATCGATTAACTTGTCAAGTGGGCATCGACCAAGTACAACGGCGGCCAGAGTAAACTAATTAAATATCAAAATGACAAACGAAGAGCTTCTGCGCTCGGGCGCTCCGCCGCGCCGCGCCGCGCAGAGTCGCCTGCGTTCGTTTACTTACTGCACATTCGAGCCCGAGTCTCGAAAGTAAATTTATGAGCTCGCGCTACCGTACCACCATCGCCGACGATCGCCGAGTAAACTCCGTAAAGCACGTTACACTATTTTCATTTCCGAGCTCTCGCAAGCGCGAAAGTCGCGACACACGCGAGAGAGCCTCTACGTTGTCGCACGTTCAAACGTCCTTTACTTTCTTCTTTCTTTCATTTTCTTTTCTCGGTTTCTTCTTTTGCGCGCTACGTGATAACACGAGGCACATATACGTGCGCGTTTAGAGAACAGATAACGCTTGACACTTTTATAGACAAGGATCTAGTCTTTTACTGCTGCTACTATAGCCGCTACTACTACTACTACTACTACTACTACTACTACTATTACTACTACTACTACTACTACTAATACTACTACTACTACTACTACTACTACTACTACTACTACTACTACTACTACTACTACTACTACTACTACTACTATTATTATTACCATTTGTACTATTACAACTGCCTACTATCACCACTGCCCGCTACGAATATCGAAATCCTCTTTGTAAAACAAAGAGAAAGAGAGGCTGCACAACGACAATGTTGATAAAATCTCTCGAGCAGGTAATCGCAGTTTGCGAAAATTTTCAGTAAACGTCTTCGCGACAGCCGCCGGGCCGGGCCGGGCTGAGGATTGAAATCGCGGTACACTTCCAACAGGCGTGAAAGAGCAATCGAATAAATCGCGCCTGGCGCGATAAAACGGACGGATACGAGCGCGGCGGAACGCGGAACGCTCCCTGAGCACGCGCGCACGCGGTCGTATATCGTCCTCGATCGGAACGCGAAAGTAGCGTGCGACTCACAGACGCGCGGGGATTCCTCATTACGAGCTGTTTATGGTCGTGTGCCGCGCGCGAGGCAATAAAGAATTTTTAATCGCTCCCCGTGCGCGAGAGTCTCTCCTCTATCTAGCCAGGACCTGGGAGTGTACACGTCGTATTTACATTTCGCCTTCCAGCGTCCCCGCTGCCGCCGCCGCCGCCGCCGCCGTTTAAAGGTTGGATCGCGTGCCTCGGTAAATGACGCTCGTTAATTTGATCGTCCTCGCGCGTATTAGCCGTGAGCGCGTCACGCGACTTTTTGCAACTACGGCGCTACGGAAGCGGAATAGCTTCTCTCGGTGTAGCTGCCACCCCGGCCGCCACTTGGCCGGCCGGGGACGGAAGGTCACGTCGAGAAGAGAGAACACCGTCAAGATTGCGCAAATAGGAGGCGATGCGATGCGACGCACGCGATGCGATGCGATGCAATGCGATGCGATGCGATGCGATGCGATGCGATGCGATGCGATGCGATGCGATCCGATGCGAGGATAGAACACGTTTCTTTTTCTCTTTTCTTTTCCCCTCCCCTTCTTTCTTGCCAAACACAACGCGCCAGAGTGTCGTCCTCCGAGAGGATCACCGGCCGACGAGCCTCTCCCAGCCACGGTACAATTGTCGAAATATTCGATGCCCTTTTAGATCGATCAGGCGCTCGTATAATTTCGCCGACCCCGCGCAATCTCGGCCTCCCCCCCCCCCGCCCCTCTCCCCCCGCAAAAACCGTTTATCGCGTTCGATGGCGACGTCGCGCGGGGGTTAATCGAGCATAAGAGTGCGGAGACGACGCGCCAGAGTCCGGCGCGTCGCGCTTTCGCGAGCGTCAATTTTCTTTCGCTCGTGATCGATTGAGCGAGCGAGGGCAGCTGGTATCGCTTTTTCTTCCTTCCCTTTTCTCTTCTCTTCTCTTTTCTTTTCACTCCTACGTCTACGAATCCCGACGCTCCGTGCGTCTGCGAATGAGAAGGACGTGTAAGTGTAACTTTCATGCGAGAGAGTACCAGCCGACAGTGTGTGCCTCTGACTTGTGTCGATTGGGGGGCTACGTGCGTGGATTTCCACGCGACTTACTTTCCAACGCGCACTCCAACACACACACACACACACACACACACACACACACACACATACACACACACACACACAGTCAGTCACGCATCGACACAGGCGCCGCCCTGTTGAGTTGGACAGACAGATAGAGAGAAAAAGAAGCGAAAAGAGAAAAGGGTCGCGCATCTCCGTGCTGTATCCCGTTGATCTCCATCGACGGGGCTGAACCAGCGGGAAGGCGCGTGTAGCGTTAACGGCAACGGCGAGTTACGGGAGTAATCGCGGCCTCTTTAACGTCGACCGCGGTGGCCGGTCTCGGTTAAAAGGGTGCGATAGGTCGTCCGTTTAAATTAAGCGTTTCTACGAAACCGGACAATGATAGATCCGCGCAAGTCGCGCGGATTCACGGATGTTTCGGCCCGAATAGGCCTGCAATCAGCAGCCTGCCGTGCGACAACACACACGCGACACAAAGTGTATGGCGTAACGAATGGCGTGCTCCCAATATCGATCAAACACGCTACTTTCGTGGCGCTTTGTCCGCGCTAGCGCGGCCGATTTGTATTATAATCTTGATGGACTGTTGTCGTTCAATCTTTCGCCGGTGTCTTGCGTTGTACTCGCCGCGCGGTATATACCGACCTGGATTCATCGTATTTATTCAGTAGAGACTGACAAGAGCCTCGCACAAGCGCGATTGAGGAGAGATCACACGCGAGGGCACTTTACATATTCTCCTGGTCGTGGTCACGCGAAAGTAATTGATTTCGTCGTTCGAACGCCACCCCCCGCGACAGGACGACTTTCTTCGGAGCGACCTAAATGTACATACATCCGCTCGCGTGCATACCTCGCACAACGAGATTTTTCTAAAGTCTCTTTGGAACAATTATTCGATTCGATGGGAAAGGGAGAGACTGTTCGCGTTCCCTTATACTCGCCGTCGAGCAAACTTTCGACTCGACTTTCTTGCTCGGAAAAACCGGGAATTCGGCGGCCGATTCCTCCGCACCGGTATTTTGGTCAAAGGATCTAATTACGCGAGGCACGAAATGCAAATATTTGGCGTGTCTGTACACGAAATTCAATCCCTTTCCGAATAAATCACCAGACAGATCACGGTTCGATAATCTCGCTCTTGGCGTGTTTGCGCGTTTTTCGCATTGTCGCGCCAAAAAGGCAAGTGTTGCTCTTGGCCGTCGCGTATAGGTACACTGAATAAGCCAGGGTAAACAGAGATTTAGCAGGAAAATGTTATTATTACCGCTAATTTTATCGTTTAAGCCGGAATGGAGCCCGGGACGGCGCGGATACGGCGCGGTCGCCGAATTAACGAGGATATTACGCTGACCGCATCCTCTTTGTGGTTGCGCATCAGCTGTGTCTTATACGCGACGCTCGTCTTCCGTTTGTAAAACGCTTCGCAAATCTCGACTGAATACTAACCGCGCCGTATGCGCCGTATGCGCCGTATGCGACGTAACGAGTGCGACTTGAGGGAGATTCATAGCTGGAGTAGCGGCAGTCTCGCCACGAGTGCCGCTTCTCTCTTTCTCTCATTTGAACGCGGCAGAACCGCGCGCGCGCGAGCGAGTTCTATTGCCGAATTATTATCAACTACACTCCGGGTGATTAATCATGTCGTGTGCCGCAGTCGCATGCACTAGTACTCGGCGTGCAGCGGCAGAAGGAAATCGTCTTTTCAATCAAGTTTCACACAAAGCCGATCTAGATACGTCAGTCGCGCGAGTATAAATATCCTTTCGACACGAAACGAACACATGAAAAGCCCGAAGAAATGGAACAATATCGTCGCGCACGCGCGCGCGCGCGCGCGCGCGCGCGCGAAAATTCAAGTCTCGCGTTTATAGTTTGAAAAATAATGGATGAAGATTGAATATCATTCTTAACGAGCCCTCAGGGACAGTCGCGTTGTACGGTAATCGAATGAAAACTTTCGGCTATACAAAGTCACGCCCGCGCGCGCGGAAACTTTACTCGCACGTTATTCGTCAATTAACCCTTCGCAAGGCGGCGAAATCGAGGGTGGCCTGCGGCAATTAGCGCCAAATTAGAGCAACTTTGTGGGACATGCATTTTAAAAGAACAATTTCACGGGGTGTCTTTTTTCCCCTTTTCTTCCCTTCGTTCTTTTATTTCGCCGAGCTGCCGTCGCGTCGCGTCGGGACGGAGGCAGTTTCACTCGAAGTTTCGGGATCGCATACCTCGCGCAATCGAATTAGCTGCTTACTGACGTTAATTACATTGAAGTGGTGCAATTAGCGTACGGGCGCCCTACGAACGGTCGGGCAAGGGTTGGGCAAGACAAGTGGTATAAACGAGAGTTTGCAAAGCGGCCATGTCGACCAAACAAAATGCGACTGCGGACTTGGCCGAGTGAGATCGACGTCTTTGTCTTCGCATTGCGACTCGATCTCGTCGTGTTGTGATCGAGGTAGGTTAGGTGGCTGAGGCAGGATGAAAGCACGCCCCCGAGCAGGTGTTAACACGCGTAACGCAAAGAGAGCCGCCACTCTGGACACGATCCCGACATAGGGGGAGGAAGAGAGACGGAGACAGAGAGAAGGCATCGATTTGGCTGGAGTTCCTGGCCCGTGATCGGTATGCTATCCAACGCAGTTATGGGATTCATCCGCGGCCGGATTTGGCAGGCCGCGACCGGATTTCGCGTTGGACGGCCGCCGACGACGGGTGGGGATGGCATTAACGTGAGATTTCGGCGAAGAGAGAAGGGAATATATAACGCGCGTCGTCGATATCGCCGACGAATTTGCGCGCATTTGTGCGTCGTAGGAGCAAGCCCCGTCAGCCGCGCGCACTCCAATGATAATTATCGCACGCGACCTTTGCCCTTTGCAATGAGCACTTTGTAACACAACACGCACGCGCGTATCGCTTGACACGCAGAAATTATTATTTCACGCAAAAACAAGTCGAACCGCACGAACGAACGAAGGAACGAACGAAGGAAGGAACGAACGAACGAACGAACGAACGAACGAACGAACGGACGAACCAACGAACGAACGAACGAACGGACGAACCAACGAACGAACGGACGAACCAACGAACCAACGACAGTGAATGTGAGCGTCGGAGGGGTTGCGCTTTAACTTTGCGTACTCTCGCTTCTCGAGTTTGTCAGGACCTCTCGATTCGCTCTCTATCGCTGGACGAGTGTCGTGCGTTCGAGCGAACTGAACGATCGGCAATCCAATTAGCTTGTTAGATGACGCAAATCTTTCACGACACACGCGTTGTCACACTGCACTTCTCTCACCGTGTCGTTGCTAGAAACGACGAAAGAAATCAAAGACTGCCCTTGATGTGATGTATGCCGTGAGATACGTAGAGACCGACTGTAAGGGCTAAATGTGTTCCATCGGATTAAATCCGCACGTGAGAACGGTGTTCAGGTACGTAATTCACGTTAGTCACGTTCCCGCAGTTTATTGCCGCGTCATAATTAGGTGACGACAGGGAGGGACTTCCGTGCAATTTTCCTCGACGACCAGAAAGGCTGGTTCTGGGTCTGCCGCAACGACGATTATTCTCTCTCGGGCTTTTGCGTGAATTTCTACGCCATTTGGTTTTTCTTCTTTTTTTTTTTTTTTTTTTTTTCTTTCGTTCTGCCACCGTGATCTTCCATCGTAACCCCGCAACTTTCGTAGTTCGAATTTACAAGAAAGAGGGAGAGCGAGAGGGAAAGAGAGAGAGAGAGAGAGAGAGAGAGAGGAGAGAGAGAGAGAGAGTGAGTGAGTGAGATAGAGAAGGGGGAAGGGGAGAAGAAACTCATTCCGAGGACGCGAATCCTCCGCCAACGCTTAGAGCCAACGCTCTGTTTGAGGAAGATAAGGCTGAAGTTTCGAGAACGCGCTTATCCCTCGCGATTTCGACAATATCTCGCGCGCGACTCGGACGCGGAGCCGAGTTGGGCGACGTGACGACCCGTGACCAACTACTCACTCTGTCATTCCGCACCTATTCCCCCGATCGGCCCCGAAACGCGTCGAGTCTCGGCGGGACCGCTTTTAATAGATAATGCCCGAGAGCGCAGTAAGATTATGTCGGGAACACATTCCAGTAGAGTATATAAGCCACCAGAAATGCTGACTCACTAAAAGGGAGCTGTATTGTTTTTGCCCTTAGATGGGCCGGCCATTGTCCGGGTAAACCTGTTTGTGCGAAGCATTGCGACAATTAGTGACATCAAGATGGTAAGTATACGCTATAACACACAATCAAACCAAAGCCTTTAACTAACCAAAACTGGCGCAACGCCGTTTCTCTCTTGTGTGCCGGCGGGTTCTCCCTTTCTTTATTTATCTGTCACTTGCAAAAACGCAGTAGGCGCAAAAGTAGGTTTAGGGTCTTGGTCTCGTGCACGAGAGTGCAAAGTCCGTGAGAAAGAGAGAGAGAGAGAGAGAGGGGGGGGGGGAGTGACAGAAAGAAGAGAGAAAGAGAGGGAGAGAGTGAGAAAGAGCGAATGGCTATGGCCCCAGAGTAGCAACCGGACGGCGCGACGCATGGACGGGAGAGCTCGATAGACCTCGGAGAGAGACCAGGCTGGCAAAAGCGGTAGCAACACATGCAACGTAGAGAGCAGCAACGTAGCAGAGTGCCGGTCAGCATCTTGCCCTCTTTTGCCCGCGCTCTTTTACCCTCTAGCCCCTATAGCCCTCGCCTCGCCTCGCCTCGCCTCGCCACGCCTCGCCCCACCCGCCTCGCCTCGGCGTTACTAGCCATCGCTAGCCTCTTCTCGAGGGAACCGCATCCACACACGGACCAACCATCACCACTACCAACCCCACCACCGACCACCAACCACCACCACCACCACCACCACCACTATCACTACCATTACTACTACTATTACTGCTACGACTAAACGCCCGAGATCCACCCCAGACCCACCTGAACTCTAGCACTCTAGCATAGATGCAGGCATGTAGCATTTCAGCTTATACATTTACGTATGCTAGTACGTCGCATTGGAGAGACCCCATCGGAGACGCTGCGGAGTGTGGAAGGCTAAATGAAAGAGTGACACCGGAGCGTGTTTTCGGGTGTGCAGAGGGGAGGGGGGCGCGGACCGGGAAAATCGAGGATACGATTACACTCGGACCTCGACGTCGACGTCGACACGGGGTTGGTTTGTTAATTTAGGAGCCGGCCTTATAATAATACGACGCGCTCGGGTGCGTCGTTAATCCACGACCTCTGCGTGCTCTCGATCTGATCCCGCGGTGAGGTAATCACACAGTCGCTTCGCGTCGGCGCGAGGGTAGAGAGGTCAATTTCACCCTCCCGAAAAGCCCGGAAAGCGTTATCTTATTTTTCTCGTTATATCGCCGGGGCCGGTGCGGCCGGGTATATCGAGTTCCGAGTGTAACGCGGCATCGAGAGGGAGAAAAGGACGGTTCCGGTATATCCGTCCGAAGGACGCCCGACAAATGCTCAAGAACCTCCAAGCCCCTCCCTGGGACGATTTTTTTTCCGGGTCTTCACACGTGCCCGGGGAAACTTGGTATTTCCCCAACACACGCTCCTCGCAATGCTCGCTGGATGCTCAGCGCGATTTCGCGAAGGGACGATCGGCCGGCCCGTTGCGCGCCCTGTCGAGACCGACAGGCTGAAATTTATGTTCCGCGCAGGTAACGAGATTACCACACACATACTAACAGCCGCTCCGTGGCGGCCGGAAGTGCACGTCGGAGAAGTTACATCGAGAACGCGTTCCGGCACTCTCGCTCGTCCCGTGCGGAGAACGTGCTAGGCTTACCGTCAGGGGCCACGGGCCTTCTTCGTGTACTTCTTTCCCCGTGTAAAACGCTCCTCGCTCTCTCGCCGAACGATCGATCGAAGAGCGATGTCACGAGGAGCCGATCGATCGACCCGCTGTATTATCTCGCAGGATATATCTCGACAGGATATGCCCGATTCCAATTACGACGATAGATTCGAAGGGAACATTACATCGTTTAATCCGAGACAAATACGCCTTTGATTACGTTGAATGGCAAGATTTTACGATTTTAAGATGAAACGACGGACGGAGGAACGAGAGTGGTTATCATCACCTGTATAACGCACTCTCCCTCCCCCCGGAGACTCCGCTCGATCGCGCATCGTCTCGCGGAAAGCCGATCTCTCTGTTTCGCGTATCACGCGGATAATGAAAGTTCAAACGTCGGAAACGTCGGAAAAATTACGTTCCCGTTCTAATTCCGATTCCGAAAGCGGAGAGAGATCCGGCTCGCGGCCGTCCAGCACTTTATGCCAATTGCTTCTCGACGGGGGAGAATTTATCACCTACGAACTTGAGGACACTGAAATTCCTCCGGCTTTCGAAACTTTGTCTCATTGGGTACCGCGAGTATTGATACCGCTCGATACTTTAGGGGTAGAAGGGTAGGCAAGGCAGAAGGGATGGTATATCCGAAGAAAAGTTTCCACGACGATGAGTCGGCGGAATCAGCCAATGTAATTGATTAACATATATATATATATATATATATATTCGAGGAGAGTCGAATAGAGATTGCTCTCTCTCTCGCGCGCGCGCATTTTGCGCAGTCGCCGCTGCGATAATTTTCCTCCTATGTCTTTGCCGGTCGACGACGCGTTATTTACTTGTCGGCAAAGTAACATTCTTATCGTCGCTCTCTCTCTCTCTCTCTCTCTCTCTCTCTCTCTCTCGCAACGAAACGTCGTTGCCGTCGTCGCCCCTCGCGAGGTCTCGACCCCGCTCGCGCCGAGCGGGAACCGCTCGCGCCGGAAGAAACGAGAGATCGCGGCCTGTTCTCGCGACGTTTTCCGCCCCCGAGCGAGGACGAGCGCGCGATATTGGACGATGCTGGGGAATCGCCGGCTACCATTGCGTGTCCGACGTCTTGTCCTGGTTCATGTAGGGCGGAATGGTACGCAAACACTCTGTATGGCTCAGGACGATACGGCTGGCTCGTTCATGCTGCGGACAGTAAGACTCCGGATGACGATGACGTAATGGGGCGCGCGTCGACGCTGACGCTGGCGTTTGCGCTAATCGCTAAACGCTAAACGCTGATAATGACGCCGCGCGAGCTTAATCGCCCTTCCGATAGCTGTCGATATAGCTGCCGCCGGCGATGTTTCGCCGACTATTTGCCCGATCGGAATAAGACGCAATCTAATCTCGCACCGTGGGGATTTCCTCGCCAGGGTTTGCGCGAACGGAGGAGGTTTCGATAAGTATCCGAGCGCATGAGACTCGAGAAGACGATCGACTTATTAATCGTTGTTGACGTGGAAGATTTTGGACGCCTGATATCGACGCGCACGTTTCCTCAAACGAGGACGCGATCGTTCTTATATATGACGTATCTCGTTTGGCGATAAAAATAGCCCACCGCCACCGGGGTACACACACACACACACACACACACACGGTTGACGGAATAATTGAAACAGTTGACAAACACCTCCGCTTACGGAAAGAATAGATTGGTTGTCGCGTGAACGGCGAACGATAATATCTCCTAAATAGGGGTTGCGTGTTATTCCGGTCTTTTCAAGACAGTGTAACATCCGCGATGCTACTGGCGCGTTTCCCGCGGCATCGTACATACACGAGCGCCTGGTGGTGGTGGTGGTTTCGCGGCATCGGTTTCCTAATATCGTCAAATGCCGTGCAACTTGGCGATTGACGTGCAGGCGTTTAACGTCGTCAATGCATCGTCGTCGTTGATGCATCGAGTTTGCCGCTCGAAAGGTTAAATGCACTTTCGGGGACGCTCCGGCTGAAATCGTATATTCTCCTCGCTCATCGCGGCTGCAACTTTACGCGACGTTAGGCGCGCTCGCGCGCCGTCATATTCGCCGTGCGTATTTTTTGTGCGTAACGCTCAAAGGGCGGCCACGGGTGTCTCGCTTTGATGCTAATCGGACCGTGATGGCGGCATGGAAATTTTGTTCGATAATATCGCGGGCGCAGACAGGGGCGGCGGCTCCGGGTCTTCTGCTGTGTCGAGCAAAGAAATTCTTGCAAGCCTCACCCCCTCTATGAATATTTTTGCCAGTTTTTATTCGCGTTTGTGGAGAGAGAGAGAGAGGGGGAGAGAGAGAGAGAGAGAGAGAGAGAGAGAGAGAGAGAGAGGGAGAGAGAGAGGGAGAGAGAGAGAGAGAGAGAGAGATGTAGATGGAAGGAGACGGAGAGAAAGAGAGAAAGAGAAAGAGGGCGTCGTGCGCGATAATTTTTCCCGGCGCTTTTCGCGTCTTCTGCCTTCGTTTGCCACGCGCATATTTCGGGCAGGATTTTCACGAAAATAGAACGACGAATCGAAAGTCCGCTGGAGCGAACGAGCGAATCTTGGGCTGTTACTCGGATATTTTCACGACGATTCTCCTCGGTGTCCTTGGCGACGTTTACAGAGGCAAGAGAGGAGATGACGCGTCTCACGCGCGCGCGCTCGCTCGCTTTATCGGGCCGCGAGAGACCGTCCTAGATCCAACAGTACGAGATCGGGTGAACGTCGACGTTGTCGTGAGACACGTCGTGTCGGGGTTGTGTCCCGACGGTTGTCATCGATTTTTTCCACCGCGTTTCCGCTTATCCGATCCTTCATATTTCAATCGCACGACGAATTGCCGGCCTACAATTTATTTAGCTTTTCCGTTGATTCGTATCTCGTGATTCGCGCCGTGTTCGCCCGTCCTCCGCCGTTTGTATCGATTATCCCCGACGTTGGTTATTTCCTACGGGAGCATCGATTCTCTCGCTACGGGTAAACAAGCGACCAGGGAGTAGGAGAACGCATTTGCTTCGCGGAATCGCGGCGCGCGTCCGATATATTCTGTAGATTCCGCGAAATAAAACGCTCCGATCGCCGCCGCGCGATCGCGCCGTATATACGTTATTGCCGCCGTCACGATTTCTCGATGAGTGACGAGAGAGACGTTGCGCTCGCGAAAATACGGAAAATCGAGTTAGGAAAAGCGGTCGATTACGCGACGCGCGCGCGAGACGGTGGAGGAGGAAGAGACGAGCAATGAGGCCGGTAAGCGTCGAGGAAGGAAACGATTTAGCTTAGAGATCCACGGATACGACCTCTTACGTAGGGTCAAATGTACGGTCATTACGGGAGATCGATGCGATGTTTTAATGACGCGGCGGGGCGCACTTTCGCGACGTGAAGTAATAAATTTTCGCGTCGGGACCGCGCGCGCGCGCGCGCGCACG